GCACGGTGACAAACAGTGGCGTATCCAGGATCTTGAAAAGGGGGAGGCCAAACCTGCTCAAGGGGCCCCACCCTTACCTTAAGGGCCCAGTGGTAGCATACTTAACCCACGCGCAGATGCCGTTCTTCACCACTTTCGACATGTGAGGGAGCCTTTTAAGGCACACTTGGCAATCTAAAAACTCTGAAGGCTCATTCTGGCCTCTGAAAGCCCCTATTCGGCAACAGAGTGAACGACTCTGGCTTGGCCCATGCTATTGCTGACCTCCCAGGGCCCCACGCTGGCTCTTGGGAGCCTTTGAGTCAGTCTGATGACCCTATGCCGCTCTCGAACCCACGCCGATCTCTAGAAGCCCATGCTGCCCTCTGAGGGTTCCGCGCCGGCTTCTAAGGGCCACTCCTACCTCAGGGGGCTCAAACATGCATAAGATCTGAAGTATGGCTGCCGAGGCCCTCGAAGTGGCCTCTAATGGCCCGACGCCAGCCTATGAAGGCCCCGTGCTGCCGCTTCTGAGGGCCCAGCACCAGCGTCTGAAGTCAGATGACAGCTGGCCCCACGCTGGCCTCAGAGGGTTCACGCTGGTCACAGAGGACCTCACACTGGCCTCAGAGGGCTCCACATTGTCTTCAGAGGGCCCCAAGCTGGTCTCAGTGGCCAGTGGACCTCAAACTGACTTCAGAAGGCCCCACGCGCTGGGTTTAGAAAACCCCAAGCTGGACATAGGCAGCCCCACACTGAACATGAGGGTCCCACACTGGCCTTAGAAGGTCCCACACTGTCCTTAGAAAGCCCCACAATGGACTTAGAGGGCTCCACGGCTGGCCTTAGAGGGCTACGCGCAGGCTGCTTAGGGTTCCATGCCAGCGTCAAATCAAAGGGTCCCACGCCCAAGTCTAAGCTTCTGTAGGACCACTGAAGCGGCCTCTGAGGGCCTCAGCGCTAGCCTCTGGGGCTAGTTCTCAGCCTATGAGGGCCCTTCGCCGACCTCCGAAGGCCATCAAACGGCAAATTTATGATAGTTTGACGTAGTTGACTTTATTTAATGACTTAATGACGTAATGACTTTATTTAAGCTTGGGCCAGTAATTCGCGTAAGGCCCTGAAGGTCGTTTCTCTTGGGACACCCAAGCATGCACGTACCCAGGATTTCGCCCAGGAGGGGGCAACCTGCTCTCGAAGGGGCCTCGGGTTACCTGGGGGCCACTGTCAACCCAGGCAGGGACGTATCCAGAACATTTCGATGGGGGGGGATTGGGCACGGTGGGTCTGGTCCCCCTTGCGGACGGGCCCCTCTGTCTGTCTGTCTCACTGTCTGCCTGTCTGTCTGTCAGTCTAAGCCCTGAGAAAATGTGGAAAATTGGCAGATAAAAATTTCATTTTGCCTGAGAAATGTGCATAAAATGCACGGTCTTTTATGAAGAAGCGAAGCGAGCGAGCCCCTCAGAGTCGCCGGTGTTGGTCCCTCAGATGTGTCTGTGAAAGGCCGTCAGATGCGCTAATGTGGGGTCCACACAGGCGCCGTTGCGGGGGCCTTAGGGCTTAAAGACGCTGGTAGGGGCCGTCATAGGCATGTATGGGGCCCTGAAAGTTACTAGTGACCCTTTATAGGCCGGCAAGGGAACATCAGATGCCGGTAAGAGGCCCTCAGAGTCGCTGCTAAGTGGCCGTTAGATGCGCTGGTATAGAGCTCTCGGAGGCGCCGGTGAGCGGGCCTTCAGAGCCACCGATGTAGGCCGTTAAGAGGCGCTGGTGTAGGGCCCTTAGAGGTGGCGGTGAGGGCCCTCCCAGGCGCCATTGTGAGGGCCCTCAGAAACATTGGTGTGGGCCGTTGGGGCATAACAAACAGGTGTGGGGCCCTTACAGCTGATCCCTCATTAGCCTTCAAGGACCCTCAGAGGGCGGCAAGGTCCTTCAGAACCTGGGGTGGGGCCCTTCTGGAGAAAGTGTGGCTACATAAGAGCCCATGACGTGTTCTCAAAAGCCCCGTGGTGTCCTTTCACTCCTTTCCAGTTGAAGCGTGCCGCGTGGCCAGCGCGAACCCTCTGATGTCAATTGGCACCGTAGGGCCCCTCGGGCCCGAGGGGACTCTAAACCATAAAACCGACACGTGTCCCCTCTCCCCTTGGCTATGCCATTGAATCCAAGTGATCAGGGGCCCTCTAGGTAATCAGGGGCCTCTCAAGTGACTGCAGGGGCTTTTCAATTGATCAGGGGCCCACCAGGTTACCGTGACCAGGGGATCCTCTGATAATCAGGAGCCGGTTATACCAGGGGCTCCTCGGGTAACTATGGGCCTTCATGCGACTGCAGAGGTCCTTCAGATAACCATGTACTCCCCGGGTAAACATGAACCCCTCAGGTGACCAGGGCTTCTTCAGATGACTGGCCAGGGGCCATCCAGGGGATCAGGGGCCCCTTGGGTAACTAGGGGCCCCTCCGATAACCAGGGGCTCCTCAGGTAACCAGAGGCCCGTCGGGTAGCCAGGGGCCCCTCAGATAACCAGGGGCCCTCGTAACCAGGGGTCCTTTACCAGGAGTCCTTCAGATAACCAGGGGTCCCTCAGGTAACCAGGGGCCCCTCAGGTAAACAGGGGTTCCGTGACCAGGGGCCCTCAGGTAACCAGGACCCCTCAGATAACCAGGGGCCCCTCAGGTGACCAGGGGCTCCTCGGGTAGCCAGGGGGTCCCTTAGACAACCAGGAACTTCTCGGACAATCAGGGGCCCCTCAGATAACCAGGGGCCCCTCAGGTAACTAGGGGCTCCCTAGATTACTGACCAGGGGCCCTCAGGTAACCAGGGCCCCTCAGATAACCAGGGGCTCCTCAGGTGACCAGGGGGGCCCTCAGGTAACCAAGGGGCCCTTCAGGTAGCCAGGGGCTCTCAGGTAGTTAGGGGCCCTCTGTGTTCGTCACTGTGATAGATATCGCTCTTTGATATTAGTTTTTCTTCCGAGTAAAAGACGTTCTGTCTAGTACTGGAATTAAGGCAGAGAGACCCAGAACGCCTTCGTCACGCTGGTCCCCCTGGCCCTGAGTTATCATTGGACCTCAGGGGCCCCTGTGGCCCCCCTTGGGTACGTCACTGCACTTAAGTGACCCAAAGGGCCCACTTGCATGTCTGATCCCAAAGGGGGAGGCCATGGCCTCTTGGCCTCCCCCCTGGATACGCCACTGGTGACAAAGTTGCAAAAAAGTGACTTGAGGTTGGGTCATTCAAAGTGACCTGGTGACCTGACCTTAAAAGTTAGGAAGTTCAAACTTGCACACCATCTGTAAAATTGATGAGAGAATAGTCGCACCAAATTTCGCCGCTACGCGCCGCGGTTTTCCCGCTATCCACGAAAAACATCAGGGGGGGCGGATATCCGCCCCCCCCCCCGTCGGTGCGCGTGTTAACCCTCGCCGGACCTATTGGTTTTCTACATACGCGCCGGCCGAGGGGGGAGGGGCGGGTACGACCCCCCCCCCCTCGCCGTTTCGCCCCTGGTGGAGCTAGCGCGTCGCGGAAAAAACGAGCGTGTGCGCCGTTACGAGACGCAGAGATTGGTACCCGATTTTAAGGTCCTAGGTCAACCGGTGACCTCTGAGGTCAGGTCAAGTGCCCCAAGGTACGGTTCAGTTTTTGGTGAATAACTTCGCAAAAAACGGCCGCAGAGCGCCGATTTTGGCAGCATCGTGTTTGTCGCGCTCAGGCGCGTCGAATGGTATACTTTTTGTCCGGGTCAGGTCAACTTGGGGTGTTGACCTCAGGTCAAGGTCAGGTCAGCACCCCCAGGTCACGAAGTTGGTCGAAAGAGGTCATGTCGCATATCATTCGATTCGGCAGGTCTTCCTGAGTCCATTGGTGGCTTTCCCGACTCGCTAGCTCAATTTGATCAAGAGTTATTGACGAAAAACTAATATGACCTTGATGACGTCATAAATGACGTCACGCAAGGTCAACATTGCAAAAGTGACGCATCTAACCTTGCAAGGAGTGCATAAAATCACGATTCTGTGTGCTTGAGATAGTTGGAGATCGTTCCCGGCGCCAGAATAGCAGTTTTCATTTTTCCCCATTGACTTATAATGGTGAGGTCACGAAAATGACCTGACCTCATATGACCTTTAGGAAAAATCCGAGATATACAAGTTGTAGGACTCATAATGGATACTAGATCCTGCAAGTTTCATTTCCCTGTGACATCTCCTCTGGCAGTGAGGGCGTTGCGAAGTTGCGACATCTGAAGACCGTGCAGAGGTTCACTTATGACGTCATAGGTCAGTGACCTGACCTGACCCAAAAATGCGGTTAGTGTCAAAAGATGCGGCTTGGATCAAAGGTCAGGTATGCCAAGTTTCAGCTCTCTATCGCCAGCGTGTTCGGAGCTATCGCGAAAAAACCCTATGGGGGGGGGGGCGGCACCCGCCCCCCCCCCCCTCGGCCGGCGAGGGTTAAAGGGACCCTCCCACCTTAACATTAGATTTGAGTTGAGATAGCCAAAATGGGGTCCCTGGCTCACAATTACCGGTTTCGGCACTCACAACATCGAGAAATGCCTTAAATCGGAAATATTCAATTTCAAAATTGCAGCATTTTGATTCAGAGGGGCTAATGCTTAGGAATACCCCTCTGAATGTGTGACGTCAGCGCAGATATCTAACGATTTTTAAATGTTTGACTAAAACGTTTTGTAGCACGCGGTGGTATATGCTATTTGCGCGCAACATCTGCCGCAAACGCCGCACTTCTTAAATAAAGTCGCTAGAAACGGCGGAGATCCCAAAAAAGTAAACAGAAGTAAAAGTCTAATATCTTGAAAACCGGTGAATATTTTTCGGTGAAATTTAGTAGATATTCGTTTTCGCTCTTTCTGAACCGAGCGACATCACTTTCATGCCAATTCATAAACTTTTTTGAAGGTGGGAGGGTCCCATTAAGCGCCCGAAAGGAATCAGCGGTACGGGGTAAAATTATTAAACCGCTCGTAGGTAGAAAAAATCATTTAAACGTCTCCTACTCGCGGTTTAATATATGTATATTATTGTCCATCGATAAAAATTCACAACGCGACAAATATCTACCTATACTCAAACTCATGTCTCTAACTCAAGTCTGTTTTTATAGCACACACGCATCTGATCTTACTTCGCACCATGCGCGAGAACAACTTGTCATTCGCATTGAATCGTTTCTTTTCTAAAGCCTCTGCCCTCTCTCCTGTATTACTACATGCACATGTAGGTATTTACTGACACCTTGGCCAATCTGATAACTACATGATGATCGACAATTTATCTGCCTGTACTGCTAGGAGCTCCTCATCGCGATAAGCTAGAGTCTGACAATGTCCAGTAATCCTGAATGACAAATAATTGTCCACCATGAAAGACGATGAAAGACAGATAAGTTCATCCCCCCAGCTATCCCTTTTAGTCACATATCAATTGCTACTGGATGCCTTCCCGATTCAAATCAATAACATTTTAACTACATTATTCGATAAACAAGTTTTTTTTTACTGCTTTGACTAGGGCGAGGGTAATCAACCATTTAACAAAGATATGGAGCATACCTATATGAATACCTAAATACCATTTCCAGCTCCGCGCTTCTCTTCAGAAGCATTGCAGTATGCCGATGCGACGAAAACTATCGATCTCAAAATATAGCGTAAACATATACCTAACACAACATGTCGTTATAAGTTGCAGCGCAGTACAATATTGCAACACGACGCAACCGCCTATCTCATTACTTCCGACAGACGGAGTAAGCGTTATGCTAGACAAAGAGCGGCCATCGCGTGGAAAGCTTCTGGGGAAAGTCTCATCGATGCGAACCCAGCGATAGTCGTGTTAGTCGGCGCTGTGATCCCGACTAGCACCATTCGGGACCGCCAGCTTTGCGTCTGTGTGACCCTCAGTCCAGCCGGCCGCCGGCTGCCTTCTTACGGTGTCGACTGCTGTCAATGTGCTGCTGCCACGAGACGGCCCCCGAGCACTGCACCCCGCAGGGGCCGCAGTGAAAGGGGGAGGCTGCCGCCGCCGCCGCGCCGCTCCCCAGCCCCGGGGGCTGAGCCGGGAGTCCCGGGGCCGGGGTCGCAGTCGAGCCCGCCGTCTGAGCCAGGATCGGGATCACTGGAGGCGGCAGATTCGTCTGGGTCGAGGCCGAGGCCAGGTGCGAAGTGGCAGCGGGTGCTCCAGGAGCTGGGCCACCTGTCTGCTGTGTCGGGAGGACTGTCTGCTGGGCCGGGGCAGCTGTCTCCAGTACCTGGTCTACTGTCTGCTGGGCTGGTCGGACCGGGCCGGCTGTCTGCTTTACCGGCTGTGCTGTCTGCTTTACTGGCTGTGCTATCTGCTTTACCGGCTGGGCGGTCTGCTTTACCGGCTGTGCTGTCTGCTTTACCGGCTGGGCAGTGTGCTGCGCCGGCTGTGCAGTCTGCTGCGCCGGCCCGGCCGTCTGCTGCCCCGTTCTGACCAGACCTCCTGTCTGCAGGCACCGCACCAAGTGCCGGCCGCTCTGCAGGTGCTGGCTCCACGGCACGGGACCCGAGCACTGCAGCTGACACGCCGCGCAGAAGAACTCGCTGGCAACCGCCGCCCCCTCCGTCCGGCCGCCGACACTGCCGATACGGGCAAACATTGCAGTAAGACCTACATTGTCGCGTCCACGCAAGATAGCAAGTACAGACAGAAATGGCATAGTAGTAGGCATAATAACGAGGCGAGAGCGGGAGCATATGCTACAGAGGCAGGTGCATGTATGCGTCAACAAATGCAACCAGCTGCTCGTATATGCAAATGCTACCATACATGTGCCTGTTGGATAAATACAGGCTACGCTTATCGTACTCGTAGTGCGACAAATATTAAACAACGCTTCTGTTGCAAGGGTGGCGCCGGGCTGCTTACCTGAGTGTTGGTAGTATGGTAGCTGAGTTGAGAACAGGACGTCTACTGGATTATTACTAAGTGAGTGTTGTCAGTATGTTGGACACCGGACAGCTCACCTTGTGTGGACGGTGTGCTTGGCGTGCTGGATGCCGGCCAAGTGCTGCTGCCAGGACTGCTCACTGTTGCAGGTGACAGCACACAACGAGCACCGGAAAGGCGCCGATTCCGCCATAGCCTTCTGCGGGGCACGAAACACAAAATATTTGTCAGAAATGAAGCATCACACGCTGGAAGAACAGGCAGCTGGGCTACAGTTGACTACACGACAATGACGTTCAATTTCTCATACGCAGCCAGTTGACTGGAATGGTAGACTGTGCTGCAGCCTGCATCACACATGTTGGGTGACACAGCCTGACCCTGTGACCACATGGTCACCAGACATGTTTAACTGCGCGCTAATCGGCATAACCTAATCTTTCAGTCAACTGATACCTTGTTTGGAGTGGAACCTCATTCTGTGTACGCATTCGACCTACAACGGGCTCGATACCTCATACCGGTATTTCACTCATCGAAGTCTAACATTAATGATGAATAAGCTTCGAAAAATTCGACGCTTTTCCGTTTTTTTTTTTTTGCTATCTAGATTATTAATTTGATTCTCTTCTAGTGCTTTTCAAGAAAATTGCTTCCCTTATTTATTGCAATGTTGGTCTTAGCTCTTAACATTCGACAATACAACGGACGACGACAATACGATAATACACTAAGGAGAGGGAAGGGAAGGGAAACCTAATGGACCACCTCAGTTTTTTTTTTCGCAAATACCTCGCGTAAAAAAAAACAGACTGCGACAAAACTTTCAGAACCCCGGCGTTTTACACCTATCCTGACAATTTCATGACCCTGCCAAATGACTGAATTGTGACCTCTTTCTCGAGACCATGCTTGGCCGGAATCGCGATTCGGCGTATGTCGGCTCACATTATCTATTCGGCCGTTTTCTGAATTTGTGTGGTTGCACTGGCGGATCCAGGGCTTCAGCGCGGGGGCCGGTTGTAAACGTTCAAACATGCGCAGTGATGCATGGTGCAGTCCCATGCAGTATGGTGGGTGTCAAGGTCACGTGAAGGTCAGGTCAAGGTCATTAGCCTCTGATGACCTTGGCTCACTTTTTCGAGATTTAGGTAGGTACATGTTTCTAGAGCAGTTTTTAAGATGATTTCGAATTTAGCATTGCATTGGAACATTTACGAAGTAGTTTTGGTCACTGGTGCCTTCGTAATATGTTACGAAGCTGCCGGTGGTGGTTGACACCTACTTTTTTTTTAAAGACACCTACTGTTCGTGTGATTCGTGGTCGTTTACCCTGATCCAGCACGGCAGACCAAAGTGTTCGTGTAATCGTCCAGTTCACTAAGAATTGCGTAGCTGATCGTATCGTTCATTAACCGGAGGACCAAAAGAGTTCTTTGATGAATGTCTATTTCTGGATTACTCGTCACACACTGCACCTCATTCGAATCGTACGACGCCGGCGCCGTTGCGCCGGCGGAGCCGCGCCGTCGTCGTCGTATCGCCGCGAACTGCCGAGCCGGCCGGCGCGGCGGCGGCCGGCCCGGCGCGTTGGGGCCGGTCAGCACACATATGTGCTCCAGATGACCCCCCAGGCCCTGTAGAGGACCACGTGGACGGCGGGGCTCGGCCGTGCCCGCCGCGCGCTGCCGTCGCTGTGCGGCACGGTACGTTTTCTCTCGAACACCTACTCTGGTTAGCCGGCAAAACGCCTATTGGTTGACCTGACCCGACCTAGCCTAAATGCATGAAGACAGCATATGTGATCAAGACTAACATGAAATTCGTGATCAGCATTCCGAAAAACTCCACAACCTCTGACTTGACGAAGTTCTAGCAGGTCCCGATTTTCCCGACTTTTGGGTAATTGACCTGACCTGGAAGGTCAACCAATGATCTACGACTTGGCACAGCAGTCCAAGTCCTAGATCATTGGTTGGTAGGACTTGGACATCTTAACATGGTACCATTGGCTTCCTCTCGTTACGGGCAACAGCATCGTTTTTTTTTTCTGCGAAGCCCTAGCCCGATCAGGGGCCAAATGGCTGCCCCCCCCGTGCCTAGTACGTTAGCGGCTGGCAAAACACCAACACGATACGGGCGGGGGTAAATGAGGCCCGATTATGCCACAGCCCGACCCCTGGCGTGGGTTGACCTGCAGCCTCAACCAATCGTTTCGCATTTGTAACTGCACAAACCAGGCTGCGCACTGCACTGTGGCGATATAGGCACAAGCACAAACATACCTATCTTATTTACACGAGAAGCAGATGTCGTTGACGAGCTGTCGTTCCGGCTGCGCACTGCACTGTGGCGAGTTGTTGGCCGGACTGCTGTGGCGACTTGCAGTGTCTCGTGGCCGCGCCGAACTGCCGTGTCTCCCGTATAGCGCTGTGCCGACCCTCCGTGTCGCCCGAGGCCGAGCTGAACACACTCTGACTGGCCGAGCGCGGCCATCGCGGTCGACGTCCCGCGTCACAACACCGGGAAGAACTGGCGGGGGACCCCCGGGCCGCCCACGCTGATATGGTCACCGCATCGACAACACTCGCCGACCGCGGCGCCGTACTGGTGAGTGGCCCGACCGCCGACCGCCCGACCGACCGACCGCCGAGGCCCGACGACGGACCGCCGACGGGGATTAGCGGGGAACGCCCGAGGTCAGTCCTGCCGATATCAGTTATCATCGGCTGTCATGTTTAGTGATGGCTTTAGTCATCCGAGGTGATATTTGTTTCGATGTTTAGGTGCATGCAGTCAGCAATGCGTGTAGAGGCTGTTGGGCTGATTTAAACTACAGTAACTTTAAGTAACTGTTTTTGAATAACCTCCTCACAAAATTTACCGTTTTACATTCTTGTATATTTTTGTTTTATCCTTATTTTCGGCCACGGTTGTTTTCACATCAATTCCAATAGTATGGTTAAAGCTATAATATTAAAATTTAAAATTTTTAATTTATAAAAAAAGAAATAAAATTTATTAAAGCTATATAATAGAATATTAATTTCAAGCAAAAATATAGGTACGTACAACGTACATAAATGATAAAAAAGTTTAATTTTGAAAGGCCATTCAAAGCAATTAAGTGACCTTTTACATTTGACGAGCCTTCAACGATATAAATCATATTCATTGGTTAGGATGTGTATGTTGCATTGTGTGAGACTTCATCGTAAAAGCGTTTAGTCAGTACAACCCATAAGCCTTAAGCCTACACCCAGAGGCTTTACTTATTGAATTTTACATGATGTGGCTTACATGACAATTTACATGATGTGGCTTGTTTTGTGTATGCGTAAGGTGTCAGTGTGCACTGCGCACTGTCGGACCCTTTGCACGTTCCAAGGCCCTGCATTGCAAGCATTTTTTTAAAGGCATGCAGAAATAATAACAGATTTTGACGCAGCAGCCGTCTTCTGCTTTTTTAACGAAAACGTTCGTCCAAAACAGGGGTATGTCCTGAGCTTCAACGAAATCTGACTGAAAGGTTAACGGACGAAATATTGTTGAGCAAACAGGTGTAATGTATGATGGTATGATTTTGAGCCATGCAACGTTAACTCCGACTCCGACTCCGGGCAAAACTGTCGACTCCGACCGTTTCCGACCCCGCAGCCCTGCAGGCACATAGGGGAAGCCGGGGGAAGCCCGGGCGCGGGGGAAGCCCGGCCACCCCGTTTCCGGCTAAATTATTCACAATAAAATGCTTAACTGTTTGTCCTTTCAGCGTGGCAGCTAAGGTAACGCCAGCAAAAAAGTTAAGGCTGACAAAAATTGCATATTGTTAAAGTTATAGCGCAAAAATGATATTTTACGGGTTTTTAGCTAAAAAGTGAGATATGTTGCACTGTTAATGTTATACCATACAGTACTAATATTTTTACGAATGTTATGTAAGGACCGTGTAAGTGTTTGTAGTGAGGGGTGACGAGGCAGGCTGGCTTAAAGGGACTATCCCACCTTCTAAAATGTTGTTAAAACCAGTTAAATTGTGCCCGACTTTATAGATTGGATGACCAGGCCGTTCTGGCATTTATTTTTCATTAAACATCTTAGGCTTCCCATATTCTAAACACAAACTTTCAGATATGTGACGTCACAGCCCAAATTTACCTCCTTCCCCAGGCCACATTACTGTCATTAAAGCTGATTCTTTTTACTCTGTAGGCACCACAATAAAGTTCAGACCAAGTTTTAAGCGATTTTTCAACGAACAAACCCATTTAAATCAGAATGACTAAACGAGGTGACGTCACACTAACGGTCGCTCCATGTTGAAGATAGGGCCTTGTACAAGGCCCATTTTCAAATGAAGGGAACGAATTTCTTCAACACCAAGAGGCCGCGGGGGTTGCAACTAGATAGATAGTGGTTTCTGAACCTCGCCGCAAACTTGGCTATCTCAACTCAAACCCCATGTTAAAGGTGGGATGGGATAGTCCCTTTAAGTAGGTATGACCTTTTTCGAATATCGCTGTTCTAAAATAAAAATTAGCACATTGGGGTAACCCCGGGCGAGTGGCCAAGCTTACCCCCAACCGAGAGCAATGCCACTAAATCACTGTTTTCCATGAGATAATATGTACTGAGCAGGTTTGGTTTACACCTAGATCAAAGATAAATTTCGAAAATAAACATGTTATCATAGACAAAGCCAGTCATGTGACTTAAGGTCAACTAGGGTCAAACTACGTTTTTGCAGATAACGCGACAGACAATGAAGCTAGAGCTTCAAAAATGGTGTCGCTGTGTTCTTCTTCATCAGCCGAGTCGAATGATATGCAATATGATGCATTAAGTTAAAAAAAATAAATTTTAAGGAATTTCGAAATACACATTTTTGTCAATTTTGCATCACGATTTTCATCGACCTGTACTGTATATGTAGTAGACGCTAGCTAAAATACCAGTAGTGACATAAACTCTAAGATGTCCAGAGCTAATCAGTACCTTAATATTTCACTTTCCGTTAATATTTGGAGAACACATAGGTAATGGTTTCATCAACTCGTTGTAAAGCGCTGGGGAGGTGGCCGGCGTTACCCCAATGCCGGGCTTAGGGGAGAGTGGTGCAGGAGGCCCCCCCTTAAGCTCAGTTGCTATTCTTAGACAACTGATAATATTTAAGAGCTAACGTGTGCATGCTCTGTGAGCATGCATCATTTTCCCATACATATTTGCATTCAAAATGAATCTAGGGGGTACACAAACCGTAAACTTTAACATTTTGGAAAAAGTTGCAAAAGGGCCTCTTACACTATGGGTATGGTAAGACGCCCCCCCCCCCTCCCCTCGGGCATTTTACAAGTCAAGTCGACTTGTAAAAGACGCTTTGCGAACACAGCTGCAAGGCCTTTTATTTCGAAAAGCTAAGCAAATACGGTGTTATCGAAACCAATAACACTTCCAAAGCGCTCGAACAATGCGAAAACTAGCACAACCAAACGCTGATGACCAACGAAAATTGTACCTATTACCTCTAAAGTACAGGCTCCACGGCACACTTTTTCGGTTTTTCGTTTCGTTTTTTCGCTTTTTCGGCTTCAGTAGACGATCAGCTTCAGTTGATAACATTGGTGTAGCTCCACGGCAGCGAAACCGAAAAAAAACGAAATCAGCAACTCGAAAAAGCGACGCGAAAAATCGAAAAAACGACTCTCAAAAGCGAAAAGGTGACTCTAAAAATCGAAAAATCGAAAAAAACGAAGCGACTCGTCCAACCCAAAAGTTTGGATCGACAATCAGCTTTTCCAAGTAATCTTGGGTTTTTGGCTTCAGCACGTGACGATGTGGTAATCATCATCATCAATTGTATTACGTCTACATAGAGACAAGACAAGCATGGGCATAACAAACATACACAATGCACACAAGACATACGCCAGAAAACATATGCACAATCATACCTACACCAAAACATAGGCATACCAAAAACAACATAACACTATCATATGGGTGGCGCTAATATCATTTGTATTAGTGCCCATGCCTCCCCGGTGTTCTGAGCCAGGAGCCAACTGAGCGAGTCGGTGACTCCACAGGGGGGTCTTGGGGTGTACATGATCTCAGGTGGGATATGACCTCCAGCAACCTGTAGAAGCACACTCATATTGGCCCCACATACGATGAACATAAATCTAACGATAGGCGCGCAGTGTCCCGATGAGGCATCCCCAAGAACAAGAGTTGCCAGGCTGGCAACCAGAATTTGGCGTAGGCGGTGATTTTCGCGGAAAGCATCACGGAAGCACGCGATGATGGAGCGACGTAGAGTCTCCTGCACCTTCGGTATGTGCAGAGCAGCGAGCAAAGCTGTGTGGTGGGCTCTGGATGGCAAACGTAAGGCAGCTTTGACTGTTGCTGCTTGCCAGGACTCGAGACGAGAGATGTCGGCGGGTCCCAGAGGGCACAGAGCACAACCAAATAACAGGGTCGGGGATACTATGGCTCGCCAAAGGAAAGCTTTGTCAGGGCCAGGGAGCTGCGAGCTGAACAAACCCGCTCGGGAGAGACCGAAATAGGCGCCTCGTCCACGGGACACGCGTGCATCTACGTGCACTCGGCCCTGAAGGTTCGGGTGCAGCTGAACACCAAGGTGCTCAGTGTATTCCTTACACGTGAGCAACTGGTTGCATAAGTGCCACTCAGGCCGCTGGGCTAAAAGACCAGCACCGAAAATGAAACAGTGACTTTTGGTTGCGCTCGGAACCGGGTTAACAAATTCGAGCCTCCAGCTAACTGAGAATTCTGAGACAGAATCCAATAGCTTTTGCAAGTCAAGTGCGTTCCCCGACATGACTAGGAGGTCATCAGCGTAAGCCACTACTGGGACATGCTTACCACAGACCATTGCACCAATGCCGGTAGCGTCCAGTTGCTGTATCAGCGGCCTTAAGAAAATATTGGCCAAGCATGGTGACAGAAGCGCACCTTGCCTCACCCCTCGTCGTACGGAAAACGCATCCGATATAGAACCTCCGAACCGAACTCGTGCTGAGAGGTCGCTATACCAGAAGGCTAAAACCAGCCAGCTTCGGCGAGATAAGTAGTCTTTAGCCCGAAGTAGGATGCCAGCGTGCCATATTCGGTCAAAGCACTTACGAGCGTCGAGATTAGCGACAAACAGCGGGGATTCGTGCAACAAATAGTGGCCAGCCGCTTCCTGGACGAGTAGCGTTGCCTCTCTGGTGCCCCGGCGCTGAAGGAATCCAAACTGTAGGTCTGAAGGTCGGAAAGAAAGTTGGATTTCTCGAAGAAGCAGTAATTCGAGTAGCTTTGATACCGTGGACACCAAAGAAATTGGTCGGTAGCTATCCGGACAGTTTGGGTCCAAGCTGCTTTTTTTAATAAGTGGGACCACTGTGCTTCGCCGGAAGCTGTACGGCACTCGCATCTCGGCCAGGCTGGCAGATAAGAGGAGAGCGATTATGTCCAGAAGCGTTGGTGAAGAGCCATGGATAAGATGGTCGGCGGTGACACCGTCAGGGCCGGGAGCTGCATTCCTGTTTAGCTCCGTTATAAGGCCCGCTACTTCACGGGCACTTATGATCCTACTGGGACCCGGTGCTTC